AATTTTCTTTTATTCTTAATAATGTTTTCTAGGCTTAGTATCTGAATTAGCAACCTGTTTTGGTTGCTTAGTATCAACTGAATAGGTAAAGCTTCCTAGGCTAAGACTCAGTTTCTTTACTTACCTTAATATGATAATTCAGCAGAAGGAGAAACATTATGTATATATTGTTATATAAAGCAATATTGTTACTAATTAACTAGGAAAGAACACAATGGCTTAATTCGCAGAATTCAATCCATTAATAGTTAATGAGACTTGCTAGCGTTTCCTTTCTTATCTAGAAGAGCAGCTGGTAATTCATCTCAAGACTAGACTAAGATCCATCCAGATATACTAGAACATCTCTGTTTTTCTCACTATTATACACACACAAATTGATTAATTCCTGACCTTGTTAGAACCTAACAGCCCCAGACAGTTAAATTCACCATGAATTGTAGGCTGTGGAGCTCAGGAATATTTGTGTGCTTGCTCTTAAATAAACCATTTCTAAATGTGGCCATTAATTTCCTTCTTTGTCTTCATACCTGATGATTAATGTACATCCTGTGATTTATTATTTGTTTTCTGACAAACCAATACTTATGCAAATAGTGCCACAGCAGAACTGGTACTTTCCAATAATGGCCATTTGAACTTTTTGCCATTTTCTGAAGTAACTTGTGCTATGTGAGGAATCTTTCGCCTGCATTTACACAGAGCTGTCAAACCCCCATGCTGGGAAGTTAGGATTTTGACATGGGAACCTTGCTGTGCTAGAAAAAGAACATACATAATTAGCCTGTGGAGCTTGGAGCATGTGACCAAGATTGGATGAATGGTACTTTTACCTAATTACCTAAGATCTGAATTGTTGAAACAAAGCCCAGCATAAAGGAAATCCAAGTGAAACACTGGTTTTCCTCACTGACAACTTTTCTGGGGCGAAGAAAAGATCCATCTTTTCATGCAGCTTAAAATTGTAAAAGACCCGAATTGCCACACTCACAGCTGGCTAGGAATGCTCATTAATCTGAGTGTCCTTAGCAACCTGGACTCGGGAGAGTAAATGAGTCACTGGTACTAGAGCAAGGCTGCTGTGGGATGCAGGCTGCCAGCCCGTTGAGCAACCAATCAGGTAATATCTGAGTCCTGCTTATAGCCATCATGGTCTGAGGTCTTTGGGACAGATGGATTAGCTACTAATTCAGGAATGCCAGCAACTCTTGTTTTGCTTTGATTTATGTTTACTCTAGTTGCAAAGAATGTACGCCTGACTCACTTAATTTTTATCTAGTCTTTTTGGTGTCACATTTTTTTCATTCCTGTTGCTTTTTTCTCCTGAAATCTTTCATTTGCATCTCACAGCACCCCTTCCCAGCCCTTTATTTTTAATTGTGGTAAAATACCCGTAACATAAAATTTACCATTTTAACCATTTTTTAGTGTACAGTTTAGAGACATTAAACAGTTCATCTCCAGACATTTTTCATTATCCCAGACTGAAACTTTGTATCCATTAAGCAATAATTATCCATTTCTCCCTTCTCCTAATCTCTGTCAAGCACCACTCTGTTTTCTGTCTCTATGAATTTAACTATTCTAGATACCTTGTGTGAGTGAAATCATACAATACTTGTCTTTTTGTGTCTGGCTTATTTCACTTAGCATAATGCCTTCAAGGTTTATACAATTGGTAGTGTGTATAAGAATGCCGTTCCTTTTTTACGGCTGAATAATATTTTATCAAGTGTAGATACCATCTGTCCATCAGTGAACATTTAGGTTATTCCACCTCCTGACTATTATGAATAATGCTGCTATGGAATTGGTATGTAAATATGTTTGCCCCAGTTCTTTTAAAATAAAATTTGAAACTGTCTTTATGGGGTAGGGGAACTATATTTAGAACTGAGAGATAGAGGCAAGTAGATCTCGAATTAACATTAAGCCCCTTGGAAGTAATGCCTGTGTCCTCTTCTAGCCTGAAAATGATTTGCACCCTACGGGATTTGATAAAGGTGAAAGATCAGTAATGCATTAAAACTGGACCCTTTTGCATTCTTTCCTTTCCTTTTTTTTTTTTTTAAGACCTCAAAGCTGGTTTTCAGCTGTGAACATCCTCTCCTTGATAGTTGACCATACACTTACCCTGAGGATTAGCTTAGAGAAGCAGTAGACTTAACTCTTGAAATACTCCTACATCCTCAGTAAACAGTGGCAGAAGTTTCTATTATTTTATTTTAAACTATAACGCTCATATGGCTCTATAAGTGGCTGGAAAAAAGTAGAAGGTATTGCCAATCAGGGGACCATTAATGGGACAATTCATCTTTATTATTTACATTATGTTAAGTTTGTGACTGTTTGGTTTTGAGACATGAATGTCAAATCATTTTGCACACACAATTTTTAATGACCAAGGGAATAAACGCTAATAAATCTCATTGTATACTTTCTAGATACAGGTGTGCTAAATTATCTTTTTATCTTTATCTGAAAAGAGCAACAGCAGTAATTTCTTTTTAAAAATCAGTTATTTCAGGTAATAACCTTTTAACAATTTAATTTCAAATATGAAACAGTAATCTAACTATGCCTAAACATATAGCATGTATAGATGTAGAATGACCCCCCCCATCCCCGTTAAACTCTCAATGAGTTGCAAATCACTTCATCTATAGGTATTTCAGTTCCTCTTTCTGTACAACGTGGGTTTGCCAAGTGGCCCATGAAGTTGTCATGGAAGACAAACAGATGACTCTGGGGTATGTTTTGGTCCTACTGGGACACTGAGGCTGAATTAGGTGAAAATGCTAATAAACTTAGTTATCGAATTCTTGTGGCCCAAGTAAATTTTTGTTCCTACTTAATAACTTTTTTTTAAGCCTCTTATTCCCTCTTTTCAGAAAAAAAATCAAGATCATTATCTGGAAAGTATATTAAACAAAGTACTTAAAACTCAACAGATGTGCCCCTAACCTGCATTGCTCATAGTGTTATATTTTTTCCCATTTTGAAACACTTCACAAATTCAAAGGTGAATATAAATGTATTTATTGCAACATTACTGAAATCACACTATTATTAATTATAGGTTTATGTTGAAAATTTTAGTGTTACAGGAGTGTTAATTGGATGATCGTGTTTTACTTACATTCTGATTAGAGTTTCTAAAATCCCATTTTCTAAAAGATGGCAGCAGTAGTTCCAGCTGTGGCGTACTCAAAGATGGGAATGAATGTGATTTGTCCCAAGGATCTCGATAAGTTATTTGTTGCTTCACGAACTCATCAGTGGTTACATGAGAATATTCCTAATATACTTTTCACGTTTTCAGCTGTGCAGAGAGAAAAATGAAATGCCTAGGTAATCAGGTGGTTTGATAAGTGAAAAGTAGGTGGGGTCGGCACTTGAGATCCCGGGCACCTGAGCTTGGCTTGAGTCATTGAGGCCATGGCTCTCAGCCTTGGCTGCATAAACAAATCTTGGGCATTGGCATTTTTAAAATCTCTCCTAGTGATTCCAAGTCAAGGCTGAGAACCATGGGTTTAAGAAGAATTAAAATAGGAAACTGAGTTGGGAGAGTATTATGGTAGTCCAGTAGAGATAATAAAGATTTCAACTAGGATATATCATTGAGATATTCAGGGGGTAGAAACAACAAGGCGTATTATGTCCCCCACACATGAGAAAGATGAAGCCAAGATCCCATCTTCATCAGAGCGCCAGCCCTAACCTTGAGACTGGCTGAGGCTGTGCCACTGAAGAAAACCAAGCAGAGATCCTTGGGGAGTAATAACTTCATTTGTGTATGGTAGGAGGTAAAAAACAAATAAAATACACCTTGAGAAGTGGGAAAAGACTCAATTGACTATAGTGTCAGAAGCTAAAGCCTGAGGCTCTCAAGTAGGATACATGACTATCTCAAGAGCAATTCAGAATAAGTGTAGTAATATGAAATTTTAGTAAACTTTAAAAATATTTTTGAAATACTTTTCACAAATATATGCTTGTTGGATGTCTTCATCCAACTTTATACTTTATAAAAATATTTTGAAATCCAAGAAAGACTTTCTTGCTGACCCTGGCTAAGCCACTCGCCCTGTCCTCACGGGCCCGATCCGCCCAGCAAGTGGGGATGGCAGTGCGTGCCGTGCCCACGGCACAGCATTGTTTTCCACATTAAATTAGACTATGAATGTGAAAATACGATGTAAAATACAGGCCATTATGCAGGTAATGGATTATTAACAATAACTTTTTTGCTACTAATCATAAGCAACTTTGGTACTGAGACACTTTGGACAATTTGTATTCCTGGTAAAGATGTAAAGTGACACTAGAAAGTGCCAGATACCCGTCTCTTCAGAGCCCACGATCCTTACAGGCAAGACAGATAAGGAAATAAATAGCTGTAAACACCAGGCTGAAGTTTCTATGAGAGCCGGGATCCTATCGCTGATGCACTGTGAATGCCTGACTCAGCGCTTGAAGCCTAGTAGGCTCTCCTAAAATAGTTTGTTTAAAAAATTGATGAAATAGTATAATACAAGGTAAAAATCATATTAATAAAATACTATGGTATTTTGGGGGAAGGAATTGCCTGAATCGTAGTAATAGACTAATAAATATATGATCAATTCATGAATAATGGGGTGAAGGAGAACATCCCCGAAAGCTACGGTAGTTAACACGGAGCAAAAAAGAAGTTGAAACCATATCAGATGCAAAACCTGTAAATAGCAGCAAGTGAAAAATTATTTTTAAACCTAGAAGGCTCTGAATTGCTCAAGGCCGAGACCACGAACGTCAGAGGAAACAGCGGTGGGTCCGAGCAGAAGCCTTCAGAAGCGGTATAATGCCCAGACTGATCACTTATTCACTGTGCTGGTTATGATTACATCTCACCCAGGGCCACGGGACTGCTTATGTTCAGATACAAAATTTGGCCCTGGAGTGTTGTGCTTTAACTGTGGCAAGTGAAAGACCCTGACCATGTCCTCTTCTGCCTGCAGGAGTCGATAATCTCTATGAGAGGGCGCTTCACATCCGCAAGCTCCTCCTGACCTTGCCCAGATCGGTCCTCATAGTGATGAGGTACCTCTTTGCCTTCCTCAATCAGTAAGTACCCTCATGCCCTGCCGAAAGGCCCATCTTAATTGTCCTGGCACAGCTCTGAATGCTGTCTTTGTTCTTGGATTCTGTAAAATGTACTTCGGGTTTCATTCATCAGCAGAGTCACAGATGATTGAATATAGGCTGAAGATACCTCTTCCCTCAGCAGATCAAGGTCGTTGTATGACAGATGAAAGGTACGGAAATGCTGGTCAGAAATGCAAAATTATACAAATACCACTAAAAAGAACACTTCCCAGTGAAATATGTGCTTTTCAAACTGTCGTCCAAAGCTAATGTCATGAATGTTTTTGTCAAAATGATGTAAGCCGCCTGCTCACTGCAGAAAATTTCTGTTGTTTTTAATGCTGTAGTCAGGGAGGGAGGGGAATTACAGATGAGGTTTATACACAGATCCTGAAATGAATTTCTGCAAATTCAATATGAGACCTTGTTAAGCAAATGTTATCTCTAAAACCTCTTTTAAAAATGTAACAGAAGTCTTAAAAATTACTGCATTATTTTCAAATAAATTGCTTTTAAGCAATTTGATTTTCAGTGCTGACACAGGGGCTCCGTTAGAAGAACATCTTCCCCAAGTTGTAGCTAAGAGTCCTCTCGCTGTTCAGTGTTTCAGTTAAGCAACTGGGAATAAATCCAGGGGCAAGTTACCTTGGGGACTTGCCTTCCCATCCTGGCATGGATCCTCCCTTCCTAAAATTAGGATATTTTCTCTTCCCTATTTCACTAGAGGTTCTCAAAAGCCATGGGGATTTTTTACAACCCTGTTGAGTATTCCCGAAATTACCTAGAAACCAAGTGCCATACACTAGAGGAATGCTGGCTGGGAGCCATACAGAATGGAACTGAAATATCCACAAGGGATGGGAGGAACCTGTTTGTACAGAAGTCACCACTGGAAATAAGCAGTATCTAGAGGGATGGGTATAAACTATGTTTTATATAATATAAGGTAAAATACAAGGTAAAAATCATATTAATAAAATGCTACGGTATTTTCAGGGAAGGAATTACCTGAATCTTAGCAATAGACAAATAAATATATTATCAATTCATGAATAATGGCGTGAAAGAGAACATCCCCCAAAGCTATAAACTTTGGGTATCAACTACGGGTATACCCATCCCTTGAAATTTTCACCTCGAAGTAGGCCTAGTGAGTCTCATCACTATGTTGCATGCCTGAAACTAATGTAATATTGTGTGTCAACTGTAACTGAAAATTTTTTAAAAACTTTTTTTTTAATATTAAGCCTAGTCACCCAGACAGTTGTAAAATCTGAGGGCTTGCCATTATCACCTCTAGTTGCGTGTGCCTCCTGCTTCCCAGTACGGAGTGCCTTGCATTCCTGCAGGCCGTCTCCACCCACGCTGTCCTGACCAGGTTCTCCTGCTACTCCTGAGCAAAGCTAACTGTGAACCAATAAACCACAACAGACCAGGAAAGCAGGGTGTGACTCAAGGAAGCTCTCGAAACCTGAATGTAACTCATCCTGCATCCCATAAATGGCGAGTGTGCCATGAGTTAGGCTGCTGCAATGGCTTCCGGCGTTTATACCCAACGGTGCCCCCGGGCTCCCTGCACTTGCCTTCGTGGGGAGTCGGGACTGAGCCCCCGGGGCAGGAGGCTTGGGACAGGAATTTTGAAAAGAGAATCTACCTATTCTTTTTCCATTGTAAAATCAAAACCTAGATAAATAACACTTTTATGTCAAGTTTTTGCTTTTCAAGCCAGCACTGAATTAAAGACCCAGAAAGATTAACTGTGATTTTTCCCATTGAGCTTACGTTTGTCTTTGGAAAATTAGACCATTCTTATTCTGAATCTCATTGCGCCTTCCTGCATCCATTTTCAAGATGATCTGTAACATGATCATGACTGTTATTGTGAACTTTTTTTAAAAGATTGTATGTTCGAGAAGTGGCAGAAGGGAAAGACATATGTTAGCTGTGGAAATTATGCTTTTGTGTATTCTGCTTTCTAGGCTATCTTATTTCCAAAAGAGGGTAAAGTATCATGTCATGTGGTTTCTCAGTTTCTTTGTGTCTGTCACCGTCTCACAAAGGTAGTTTGGTATCTTCTTTCTCCTTCCATTTGTCATCTGTGCAAGTGGATTTTACATTTCAAGATCGACATTTTATACACTGAAAGATAGCATCTCTAGGTTCTCTCTGGAACAGTGCCTTGCTCATGTGTTAGACACACAGCAATAAAAAGCTGGTTTATTTTGAGTCACCTGTGGAAAATATCTTACAAATATCCACTGAGTAGAATTTAGAAATTAGTAGTAGACAACTGGAAATCTCCCCAAAGTTTGTAGTGTCTCACCTTTAAATGGAATGAAAGAATTTAGGATTCTTTTCCCCTTCTCTTCCTTTAGTGTTGGTAGTTTTACCCAAAAGCAAATTACAGAGTCCGGAGTTGTTTGCTTTCTCTCAGTGGTTACAAAGAATAGGTGCTTTGTTTTCCTCTAAGCTTTCCTCAAGAATTATACGAGAAAAGTGAAATCTGAGATGTTTTTGAGTAGTGGGCGGACAATTTTAAAGCTCTCCATAAAGCATTATGGAATTGCTACTGTCCTTCCCAGATTTACGTGAGCAGCACTTAGAGCCTGACCATAATGTTTACAAATGAAACTCACTTAGTTGATTCCAGTTTCCACTGTAGTAGAGATTATCTTAAGTTCCCTTGTGGCTTTGAAAAATGCTACTTAATTAAGCAAGTAGGACTTACATTCCCCTTTCAGTTTCCATCTGGTTGAAAGGTTATAAGTCTTTTTACTTTCTTCAGTGTTTGCTGAGCCAACTGAAAGTAGGATGGAGTAGTATCATTTTATTCTAGTAACAGAAAACAAGGAAAGTATTTTAGATCCCTAGTTTTCAAAATATGGAGTATCTTGTTAAGCATCAATTTTCTTCTTTCCCTCTTATTCTTTTATAACTCCTTCCTTGCTTCCTTTCAAAGCCTTTCACAATACAGTGATGAGAACATGATGGACCCTTATAACCTGGCCATTTGCTTTGGCCCTACATTGATGCCTGTGCCAGAAATACAGGATCAGGTGTCTTGCCAGGCTCATGTGAATGAAATCGTCAAAACCATCATCATCCACCATGAGACTATTTTCCCAGATGCTAAAGAGCTGGACGGCCCTGTTTATGAGAAATGTATGGCTGGAGATGACTACTGGTAAGTTCAAAAATTTTAGTCCTTCTCCCCCTGGAAAAATTATGAAAGACAACATTTTTTCTTTCTTTTCAAACCCTGTGTTGAGGGCTGACTTCCAGCGTATCACAGTGGCATGGTTTATCACCAGGCGCCCCACCAGCGTGAGTTGTGTGGCAGCCTGCGGGGCCCCCAGCTGCCCGGGGTGAGGAGCTCTCCCCATCCCTGGACGTGGGTCCTGACGCCCAGGCACCACGCAGGGCACTAGATGTCAGCTTTTAAGAAAAAGAATTGAATGTAAACTGCCATTGTTTCCTGTTGACAAACAAGAAGCAGCAGTAGGAATACTTGAGATAAACTGGAACACTAAGACCCGTGACAATGTGGTCTGCCTCTTAGAGAGACTCAGGTTCATCCTTGCCTTTCCCTGAAGCATGACATCTTCTCAGATACATCTACTCTATCATGGCTTTCATAGAGAAGAAAGGTTTTGATATTATATAGAGCTATTTTAATTTTTACACTTAGGTCAAGAAAAGATAACTGTTTGGATTGAGAGATTTTATTTTCATTCTGAAGTAGTTTTAATTCTATATAAAGTGGTTTCAAAATTCTCATTTTTAGAGAAGCTCTATCAACCAAATGTATTTTTATTCTTATTAAAATTATTCTAATAATTTTAGAGTGTAGTAAAGGTTATTTTGAGCAAACTTATTACAGTAATATATTGTTAGGATAACAATTTGTCATGTGTTTTTTAAGTTTATTTTTAATTGTATTTATTGGGGTGACATTGGTTAATACAAATATATATATAATTTTCAGGTGTACAGTTCTATACTACATCATCTGTATATTATATTGTGTGTTCACCACCCCAAGTCCAGTCTCCTTCCATCACCGTTTATCCCCCCTTTCCCCTCTTCTACCTCCCTGCACCCCCATTCCCTCTGGTAATCACTTTTAAAAAAATGCAGCAGTATAGATACCTTTCATTAAAGTGGTAAAAATGGAGGGGGTGCAGGCAATTGAATAATACCAATGATAAAAAACCCTAAACAGTGTACATTCACTATTTGATGTTTACGTTCCAGCTTCTAGGAAATCATATACAGTAAAAGTAGCTTTGATTCCTTGTGCCCCTACCGCATGCCAGCTACTCAGTGCATATGACCTTTTACCTCCTCACAATCACTCTACCAAGTAAGTTAAGGAGGCTGTCCTTTGGTGGTAACTGGAGACAGCCCGGGTCTGCCTGATTCCAAAACCCACAGGAGTCCTCCCACTCAACAGCCACCTCCTAGCCTGTCTCAGAAACTGCCCTGCGCAGCTCAGATGCGAGAGCAGCTGGAAATACAAGTGTCTAGCCTTCATTCTCCACCCCGCTGGGAACTCTTTGTTTCCCTTTGCCTTACCAGGGATTAAGTAGAAGTAGAATAAGTAGCTGAAAGATCTTAAGTAACTAAGACACACTTATTTTTTACTTAAACCACAACATCATCTTAAACCACAGTGTGGTCATATGCCTTAAGAACACTGAGAGTTGACTCTTTCCAGAAGTACTGCTTTCTAAATTAAGAACAAAGTATGACAGATGCCAGTTCTATAGTATATCCAGCAATTTTACACATGAAATTCAATGCAAAAATATTTACTTGGGCACTTAACTATGTGCAAGGTACTGACTGAGGTTGGCTCCGAGAAGATAAATGAATAAGTATGTGAATGTCCAATCAGTATTATTTGATATGTTGTACTCTTGGACTTTTTGTGGCTGCTACTTTTTTACAGAGGACAAGCCCCATAACAAAGAGTCCTACAGCTGTAACACGAGCTTGATTATGTCTTTCCCCATACATAGTGTTCTCCATGGGTACTGCTCATTTCAAACAGAAGGTCAATAATTCAGTAGTTACTTTTGTCAACCAGAGCAATGGTATAAATGGGCTTTTACAGTAAAGTCAGGTTTATATTTGTGCCCAACGCATATTTTGTTTATCTGCATGCATTTGAGGAAAGGTGGTAGAAGTTGTAAAGGGCCAGTTTTTTCAAAGGATAAAATCATAACTCCACAGAAACATACAGTGAACATCTGTCAAGAAAAGATGGAAAAAATGCAATCAATTCAAAGCAGAAATCAAAGAGCCATCAATTTACATGCAGTAAGAAATGTTGAAATGAATTTGCAAAATTGGTCCATCTATAGGGCAATAATCATATTCCGCTAGAGCGGAGCAAATTTTCATTTCTATGGATAAGAACTATTTGTAATGCTACAAGTTTTCTGCAACTTAACTTTGTCTTTACAGAGTTGTTAAATAACCTTTGTGCCAGAGGCAAAGAGATACACGCTCCCACAGGACCAGGTAGCCCCTGGAAGCTCCAGCATTCCATGAGAAGGCTGGCCAGTAACTCTTCTGCCATTCCAAGTCTCCTGTTTTGCCTTGCAGTAGCAGTTGTTCATTTTTGAAATTCTTTCCACTTTGGCTTCACATGAATGTCTCTTTCTGCTCCGCAGCGACAGCCCGTACAGTGAGCACGGCACACTGGAGGAGGTGGATCAGGACGCTGGTACAGAGCCCCACACCAGTGAGGATGGTACGCCCTGGCTTCATGCTGTTATAAAACTAGCCTTTGTATCTTCTTAAAGAATTGCTTAAATTAAGAATTCGGTAGAAAGAAAAGGTGTGTATAGAGTATGAAGAATAACATTACAGTGAACACTCGTGGAACCACCACCCAATTTAAGAAAAAAGACGTCACTGCCTTTGTGCTCCCACCGCCTTCCCTACCCGCCAAGGGTAACGGCTGTATGTCTGTGTGTTTAAATAGTTTGTTGTTTCATTTTCTATTCTGTTGAACTTTCTATAAATGGAATCATACTCTGTATACATTTTCCATTATTTTTTTCTATTCAGGATTATGTTCCAGAGATTCATAGTGTACAGTTATAATCATTTAATGTACTACTGTATACTATTTCACTGTACCTATCTATTTCATTATTGTTGAGTATGTGGGGTGTTATCCATTTTTTGCCATTAAAAGCAGTGCTGCTCTGAATATTTTGGACATGTAGCCACCCCACTGCAAATGTACGGGAGTTTCTCTAGGACATACCCACCTAGGAGTAAGCGTGTCTTCAACTTTACTAAATGTTGCCAAACTGTTTTGGAGAGTGGTTGTAATGATGTACAGTTCCGCCAGCCGTGTATCAGCCTTTCAGTTGTACGTATTCACCAAGACTTGATTTAATTTGCATGTCTGTGGTTACTGAGGAAGATGTTTTAAAATAGAGTATATTAATAGAAAATTTGGGGTATAGCAAGGAAAGCAGATCAGGAGATAATTGCCATTGAAGATACTTTGTTTCTCACAGTTCCCAAGAGGAAGGACCATGACGTCACACCTTGGGTGGCCACAGGATAAAGCGCCCGGGTCTGTCAGGAGGGAGGCAGAGGGAGCAGCTGGGCAAGAACCTTTGTTGTGGTCTCCACAGGAACTGCACAGGCGAGATCAGCAGGTCTGAAGGGCTCTGGGGCACAGACACTACCTCTCCTTGCCTGGTGCCCGGCCCGGAGGTTATTAGAACAGGTGGCTCGTGGCCCAGAATGCGAGAGCCCCAGAGAGGAGGTGGTAGGTGCGGCTCAGGATTTTTTGGATTGTATTTGAAAAGCTCACTCCTGGGCGAGTTGTTTCCTTTCTGTTGGAAGTGGCTGACCCTGGAAGGACTGGGGCCTTGTGGACCTGGAAGGATCCCTCCAGGGTCCACAAGGCCCCAGATGTCAGAATGCAGAAAAATTTTTAAAAACAGGGTTAATACAGATATACTCATTTTTATGTGTTTAGATTTCTCCTTTTGGAAATTCCCGTTGTCTTTTGCCCATGAAGACCCATTTGCCCCCTGTTAGTTTCTTTGGCTTTTTTTTTTTTTTTTTTTTCCTTTTTTTTAAGAGTTCATTATGGTTCTGTGTCAGGTCTTTCACTGGTTTTATGTTTTACAAATGTCTTCTGCTCTGTAGTTTTTCTTTCCTGTGCTTATTGTCTTTTGCTAAAAGAGGATCTTAATTTTAAAGGAGTTAAAGGTTCTTTCACATTGTGTCTACATTAAGAAATCCTTCTGTGCCCTGAGGTAATGGAGAGAATTCTCCCAGGTTCTCTTAAATCTTCTCAGGCTTTGTTTTTCACACACAGATCTTTATTCTACCAGGAACTTATCTGGAGGCGCGGTGTGAAGTATGGGGTCCGTTCCTTTTTCTTCATCCATAGTTGTCCCAACCCTCTCAGCATTGACTGTCCTTTCTCCACGGGCCCACAGCTCTGTCACAGATCAGGGGCCTTCTACGCATGAGTCCGTTTCTGGGCTCTGTTCTTTCCCACTGGTCTACCATCTATTCCTATATCACTGTCTTAATTTTGATACCTTTCAATAGACCTCCGTGTATTGCAGATCATCACCCCTGACTCTGTCCTGAACAATTCTTGGCCTTTTTGCAATTTTACATAATTTTTAGACTCAGTTTTTCAAGTTCTTAAAAAAAAAACAACAACAACAACAACTAAAAACCTGTTGGGGTTTTGACTGCAGTTACACTGATAATACTATATTAATAGGGAGAGAATTGAGATTTTTATAATATTCAGTCTCCTAGTCCACAAACACATTTCTAGTTACTTCATATCTCCCAATAAACTGCTACACTTTTCTCTGTAGAGATCATTTTTTTCTTTTTCTGACATCTTGAGCTTAATGTTTAACATTACTTTTCAAACCCTTTATTACTATGAGCATGTAAGGCTGTCATTTTTGTCATAGTGCCTCTTCAGCTGCATGCATGATCCTTTGAGTCTTTTTTCACCTGTGACTAATCTGCTTTGTATTCATTCGCTGGGTTTCTTTTTCCACTAGTTATGTGGGGTTCACTTTTGTGTTTGTTGCTTGGTCACATTTTACAGTCGTTTGCTCTGTACTCATAATATTAATCCTTTCCATTGTTTCAGATCATGTGTCTGATCTTTCCAATATCTGCAGTCTTCCTGGCTCTTGCTCACTGAATCTGATTTTCTGGTGTATTTTGTAATTTTTTTACATATTTGTGGAACATTGTAGAATTCCTTCTGGCCCCATCGAAGGTTAATTCCTCCAGAGGGGGTGTGCGTTTACTTCTGCCTGGGGCACATCCGGCTTGGGACCACATTGAATTTTTCGTTTGAGGTTGTCCAGGCCACCCAGGTAGTATGAACTGAATCTGCAAACCTGCCTAAGGCCTGGGATGTAGTTGTAATTCTCAGAGGTGATTTGGTCCAGGGTTTGAAATCGATGATTTCCTTAAATTCAGGAGTGGGAAGTGGAGTGGGGTGGGGTGTTCAATATCTGTGGAGAAGTATGGAGGGCTAGAAGTTCGCTGTGACACGGAGATATGATGGGGGTGGCGAGGAGCTTAGATTTTGCATACTAAGCCAGCCACTAGACTTAATCTTTTCTATGAAATGAAAGCTTAAGTTAACCAGGCAGGGAAAATGCCCTCGAGGTAAACTCTGACTCACATTTTCTAGTGTTCTGTTTACTTCATTGGATTCCCAGTTTTAATGAGTGTTTGGTCTTCAGTATTCCTTACTGTTATGATAGCTTACTAATGCCATTACAAAGGTGTTTTTTTTTTTTTAATCCAATGTTTTTAATTGATTTCAGCAAGAGGGTAATCAGGGTGTCTAGTGCGTCCACCCCATGCTACAACAGGGAAGTTCCTTTGTGTTTCAGAAGTAGGATGAGTTGTCCTGACCGTTGTGTCTCAGTTGGTTGGGCATCATTCACAAGGCGAAAGATCACTGGTTTGGTTCCCAGCAGGGCACATGCCTGGGTTGCAGTTTCAGTCTTCGGTTGGGGCTCATACAAGAGACAACTGACTGATGTTTTTCTCTCTCTCTCTCTAGAAGAAAAAGAAACAAATAAAATCTTTTTTTTTTCCTTTAAAAAACGGTAGGATGAGTAGATATTTTCTGAACTGAGCTTAAGAGATAATCTTTAAAGTGAGAGCTGTGACCATCTATTTTGAAAGTCTCTGAGTCCTACCTCTGCCACCATTTATTCTTTTGTCTTCAGTTTCTTTGTTTCTCCACATGATTCATTCCATTCTCACTGATGACTCCTGTAAGTGTTTCCTTGCTTTCCCCAGGGGCAGGAGAAGCCAAGACAAAGCGCCTGGCTCTCTTCCCAAACATCAGTCTCACCACCGTGCCATCTGTCAGTTGTTCTTACCTCTCGACTATAAAAGAAAAGCTTTGCTGAGGGCCGTGTGTTTTAGATAACATTTTGATCATGATCACCTGCTTTTGCTAAAGAAAAGCATTACTTACAAAAGACAGACACCCTTGCCCACAGCCAGCCCCTAAAGCCCTGTAACTAAATTAACTAGAGTATTGATTATCTTTTTGATTGCTCAGGTATTTATTTTGTTTTTTCTGTCATGGTTATAAAGAGAATAGGTTTTGTTTCCAAAAGAGAGGCTGTCACAGCACAAAGCCATCGTCGGCAAGGGTAGTGGGTAACAGATCGAGGAGGTAAGTGTCAGGGACAGGATGGTCCCAACAAGAAAGTGTGATGTCCTAGCATTTTGTGTAAAATTAGAAGACATGTAAATATAAGACTTGATAGCACCAGGCAACCAGAAAATCAGCTCTACTGAATTTTATTTCCCTTTACACAAAGTCATAATAACCATGCAGAAAAACAAAGCTATCATATTACACTGTTGTTGTTATTGGTATTGGTAAAGCAGCATGCTACAGTCTTTGCCCAACCTTAAAGGGCCACGTTACTGTCTCTGCAAGAGGCATATGGTGTGTTGCCATGCCCCGAGACTGATTTGTTCGGCAGTGACTAGACTGAGATGTGTATAAATAGCTTATGATTGACACCTGACTGTGAAATGACTCTCAGGGGAATAGAAAGAATCAAAATAAAATAATGAAATCGCTTAGAATGTAGGAGGGTTACCCGTAAAGTGTCCTTCTGATTCATCTGGTCATTCTTTCATAACCTCTCCACATTTGAACTAAATAAGCAAAGACTGATAATCCTGTTGCTAGTTGTCTCAAAAAAAAAAAAGAGATAATGAGCACAGAGGTTATGATTATGGAATTATGATAAAATATCTATATACCTATTAAATAGTCTTAAATAGCCCTTGGCCAGCATTCACAATGTATGAATGAATGGCATTAAAGAATGTTAATGGTTCTCTCTTCATTTCCCATTGACAAGTATATGGATTCTACACTATGTTATGGGCTGGTTTCTTTTCATTTCTTTTTTTCAACAAAACAAAATTTTAATACATGGGGGTGTTCACACAGGAATTTACAAATTATATGTCATGAAGTTCCTTTTTTTTAATTGATCTGAGAGAGAGAGACATTTATTTGTTGTTTCACTTATTTATGCATTCATGGGTTGACTCTATATGAGCCCTGACCAGAGATCGAACCCTGATCTAACCAACTGAGCTAACCAGCCAGGGCTTGTGAAGTTTTTTTTTAAAAATAAATTGTCATGTCTTTGTTCTTCCATGGCTATGTTTATTTGTATCCCCCAGAGAGAACTGCAGTAAACAATTTGGTATCTGTCATCTCAGATGAACCAGGATTTATTATGCATCTGCAAGTTGAGAACAAACTAAAAAGTTGGTCTCTTTGAATGTAAAGTTCTATTCCTCCTCTATGAAGCAGACTGATAGATATTTAATAAAGCTGCTGTGTATATTATTTTAATAAAAAAATATAATTTTAGGAGGGAATACCAGGGTGTTAACATACAATGTAAAGTTACAGTCAATTGTTAAAGGACTAAACTGTTGTTTTAAAAGTATCTTTACACATACTTTGCTGAGAAGTATACTACATGCAGATTATAGTGCAATATTAAATATTATTCACCTTAAAAATTATCTACTAGCAAAAAGATAGTGCTTTTTTTGTCTTTACTTTAAATGGATAGCTGAAATTCACCCACAACCTTCAGATAAGGCAAATCCCAAGCTTTTTCAATATGTTTGTTGATTTTTATGCTTTTGCCTTACGTATCCTAGAGAATGTTTGAATTTATCAAGTGAGAAAGAAGCGTAGTTGGCTAGCAAAGGACTTCTTGGGCAGTTATTCGATATAAGTACAACAGATACTGAAGATACTGCAATGAACTTTGAGAAAAAATTAACTGTTTTAAATGAGAAAGTTTGTTACAAGGGAAACAGAAGACAATTTCCTGAGAAAGTATCTGATGGATAGGTAGGTTTTAATCTGTTATATGCACATATATATTCTAGAGTATTTGGAAACTAATACATATTCAGTTTTCAGCAAATGAGGTATTGCTTATAGCACAGATATGTTTCTCTAAGTCTATACCACCTGTATTGGCCCTTTTTAGTTCTATTTATCATTGATTAGAAGTTTATTCACCTATGGTTGACAGCAGAGAAGAGGATGGGGTAATGGTGGGAGAGAGGAAGAAAGACCATATTGCCTGCATAGAAAGATTTTTTGCAATAAGCCAAATCACAAAAAGCACCTCCTATAGTTGTTTAATTTAATGTGTCCATTTATTTGCCTTCAATATTTGTGTCAGAATTGGATCAGAGCTGAAATTCAAGTTCTAGGCCGAGAATTCAGTATCTTTTTTAACCTTTTTTATTTTGAGATTATTATAGATTCACATGCCAATGTAAGAAACAGTACAGAGATTCCATATACCCTTCCCCGTTTCCTGCAGCAATCATAATGTCTTACGCAACTATAGTATCATATCACAACCAGGAAATTGACATTGATATAACCCATTCACCGTATAGTCACGTGTTACCAGTTTTACATGCACACATTTGTGTGTGTGTTTAGTTCTCTAAGTTTTATCACATGTATAGATGTGCGTGACCACGACAGCATTCAAGATAAAGAGCAGGTCCGTCACGAGAGCGCCTGGTGCTGCCCTTTTACAGCCGTGGCCTTTCCTTCTGTTGCCTCCCCGACCCCAACCACTGGGCACCATTAATGGCGTCTCCTTCTCAACACTATGTCCTTTGAAACATGCTGTGTAAATGGAACCCTACACTATATAACCTTTTGAGATTGGCTATTTTCACTCACTATAATTCCCTTGGGTATCCTTTGATCTCTAGAAAATAATAGGTTTTGAATCTGGTCTTTTAATTACAGTACTGGACAGTCTTAAGTTATGCTTGTTTCATAGGTGATATCCAGAGTTTGTTGCTGATACTAGAGAAAACAAAGTTGCCTTTACTGTTGGTGGTAGTCTGAAGATTTGATAGTGCAAAAAAAGTAGAGGAGGAAATTAAATGTATTCAAATAGTATTTAATGTGGCAATTTTTGTAAACTTGATTTTTTTAAAATAAGCAAGTAGAACATGTACTTCCTAGTGTTCTGGGTTAGTGGTTTTTTCCACATTATAAGTGGGATTAACATGTTGCAAGGGAACTCCATCAGTGTCAAAATAATATTGGAGCCATTGTGGAGGATATTACAGCCCAAGGAGAGATCTTATATATCATATCACAAAGTTTAAAATATTTTTTATTAGATTGCAATTGTATCTCTAGTAAGAGGCTAGGGAAATTAAGATCTAATGTTGAATTTTTCTTTGCCTGAAAAACTGTTGACAGCCAAAGAATGTTTTTCTATACCTTTTTTAACACCCTCATTCTCTCTTTCTCAATGATTTGTTCATTCTCTTGTCCTGTCTGGATATTAAAATAGACTTGTTTATTTCTAAGGCCTCATTTAGACCTTTAATATAGTGTATCATGCCTTCCTAACAACCCTGTCCCTCACCACTTTCTGGTGTGTTCTTTGTAGAATGTGAGCCAATAGAAGCCATAGCCAAGTTTGACTACGTTGGGCGATCTGCCAGAGAGCTGTCCTTCAAGAAGGGAGCGTCCCTGCTGCTGTATCACCGCGCGTCCGAGGACTGGTGGGAAGGCAGGCACAACGGGATCGACGGGCTTGTGCCTCACCAGTACATCGTGGTGCAGGACATGTAAGTAGTCCCCACTTTGATCGCCGGGGAGCTCCCAAGGGGAGACTTCAGCTCGGTCCCCACACTGCCCTCGAGCTTGTAAGAGAGGAGCAGGGTGGGGTCACAGAGCTAACACTTCTGAGCCGGGCACAGTTCTGCGCCTTGCTCATGGGTCTCTGATAGCAGAAATTTAGGTTTTCGTTTCCCAAACTCTACCAGGAGCTTGAGAGCAAGGACTAGTGAGAGGTGACGCTGCTAATTGCAGAAACAGAGGCACTTCCCTTTTGGTGTCTGTCTACCATTTCAGTTCTACATTCCCAGAAGAGAAGGTACTGACCTAAAGTATAAAAAGTATCTTCTCCAGGCATTTTTGGGGGTGTGTTTTTGGTTTTGTTTTGTTTTTTTTGCTGAGGAAGCTCTAATTTCAAAATTACTTAAAGAGATGGGAAGATGGTCATAATATGTAAGTGAAAGAAGTATGTAATAAAGTGAAATGTACAGTAAAATCTCTATTTAGTGAATATAGTATTTCACATGCAGCACTAATTTAAGAACAGCTTTGCAAGGGAAAGATATACCACATAAAACATATAAGATAAACAAATGATTCAAACTCATTTTAGAAATGTTTAAATGTGTACCTCAGAATCCAAGAAACATTGTGTGTATATACAGATTAGTCATATGTATCTAAAATATATAAACATAGGCATCTATAATGTAAATACTATACATGTACAGGGTTGGGCAAAAGTAGGTTTACAGTTCATATGGAAAATAATACAATAATTAATAAATAATAATTCAAGAGCCCCACCCTTTATATGAACATCCTTGTCAATATGTATCCCAGGCATTTTTTAAAGTGTAGAAGTACATTTTTAAAAATCCTAACAGTAGCTGTCTCTGGATGTTATATTATGGGTGATGGTTATTTTGCTTTTTTTTAATATCTGAATTTTCCACTTTTTCTGCAATGAAATTGTATTATTTCTATAATGAAAATTAAAAAGTTATGTTAATACGAGACTTACATACATAAATACTGTTGCTTTTTTTTTGTTGTTCCTATTTATCCAACAAAAGGCCCTCACTCCTGCTTCTCACTATTTCAGGGATGATACATTTTCAGACACTCTGAGCCAAAAAGCCGACAGCGAGGCCAGCAGTGGGCCAGTCACAGAAGACAAGTCCTCATCCAAGGACATGAACTCGCCGACAGACCGCCATCCTGATGGCTATTTAGCCAGGTAGGTGGAATCTGACGGTTAGGCTCCCGAGCATCCCTTTCTCCCGGGGGCTGTGAGGAACCACAGTACCCACATTTTTGCAGGATCACCTAGTGTAATAAGCTCTCCTTTTCTCTCTCTGTGTTATGTCCAGGCAAAGAAAAAGAGGAGAACCACCCCCTCCAGGAAGGCGTCCTGGTAGAACCAGTGATGGCCATTGTCCCCTCCACCCCCCACATGCTCTTTCCAACTCCTCCGTTGACCTGGGGTCCCCAAATTTGGCCAGTCACCCCCGGGGCCTGCTGCAGAGCCGTGGTCTCAACAACGACAGTCCGGAGAGGAGGCGCCGGCCAGGCCATGGCAGCCTGACCAACATCAGCCGGCACGACTCCCTCAAGAAGATCGACAGCCCTCCTATTAGAAGGTCCACGTCATCGGGGCAGTACTCAGGCTTCAGTGACCACAAGCCACTGGACCCAGAGACAATCGCTCAGGTCGGATGCTTTTAAGGGAACAGTGCATGCTAAGTACGTGGGGTGTGATGAAGGGGGTATGTAGGATTTACTTTTTTGCAGCGTGTATTTCATATAGAACCAGCTAATGAAAACAGGAAGGAAATTAGCCCATTCTTTAATTTAAGGCCTCATTATGGATCGCTTGAAGAACCATTTGTTACTGGAGAGGCCCAAGTACATTAGGTTTATATTGATTTAAACAGAGTCGTGGCAGAAATGTAGGACCCAGGGCAATCAAATGTATCATTGCTACATAGATGGGAAAATTCTGCAAAGAAGAATAATGAGGAAGGACTAGCCCTACCAGATCCTAAATGCATGCTAAAGGTAGGTAAACAGACTAATTGATGGAACAGAACGGAGAGCCCAGAAACAAAAAAATTTAGTATAGGAAGTAATGGATTGATCACTCAATAAATAATATGAGAAATCATGGTTAGCTGTTTGAAGAACAGCACATCTGTATACTATGTCTCTCTTGAATGCGCGTGTGTCTTCACTTCCCAACATGGACTGCCCAGAGGGGCTTTGTAGTTTTTCCTAATGATCAGAATTGACAAAGTAAAAATACCCATAAAACAATATTATTGGATAATTGATTTTCCCATAGTTCTACCTTTTATCCCTCTGGTCCTTTTTGCAGCAGGCCATCAAAAATTATGTGGCCCTGGCTGGCTGGCTAAGTTGGTTGTTGTCCCATTCACCAAAAAGCTGCAGGTTCAAACCCCGGTCTGGACATGTACCTAGGTTGTGCGTTCAATCCCTGGTCAGGATGCATGCAGGAAGCTACCAATTGTTGTTTCTCTCACACATTGATTTCTCTCTCTCTCCCTCTCCCATACCCCCCCCCCGCCATGCCCATCACCCCTTCTTCTCTAAAATCAATAAATATGTCCTCAGGTGAAGATTTTTTTTTTTAATGTGTTTGTAGCCAGTGACAAAGGAGGTGAATAGATTCAGACTTTACCATTTGAGTAGTTTAAAGCATCGTGCAGTTATCACTGAAGCCTTAAAGCTAAATAGAACAAAAGAGAAAGTGAATGAGAAATGAATGGAACAAACATGGGGAAGTATTAAAGATGCATTATTTTTCATAAAAAGCACCCAAGAAAACCTGCATTGTTATGACACATTTTGAAGATATTTTCAGTGTCCTAACTAAAAAGAATTTTGGATAGCAAATTAGATTGTGTACGTTTAATGTGTTATTTTAAAAAATTAAAGCAATTTTAAGTGCATAACAGTTTTTCAACAAATATCAAAAAGACTGTTGACCTTTCTGGTTTTCTGTATTTGAAGTGCTATCTATGCAGGACCCTTTGAGGCCTGTTGAGAACCAGTGACATTTGACTATAGCTGACTAATGAATTGAGAAAGCCCTAACACCGCTGCTTGTAATAAACAGGGGAAATGGGATTTGGGTTACAGAGACAGGGGGACTTAGGGGCGGGGCGGGGCGGGGGGTGGGAAGATCTAATAAGATCTGTTTAATAACCATTTTGCTTCTAGAACCAGGAAATCCTTTCATTGTAAATCATAAAAACAAAAACTCAACAGATAAACAAGGCTCTCTACATTCTCTCTGGGGCAAAAACTTGTTATAAAAACAAATCCATATGCTTAGCATCAAATGGAAGTCACATATGAAAGTAATCACTTGAAAAGTGATGTCATCCTCACAAAATGGCTTCCAGCTGTGTCCTTTATTTATCTTTCCATCTCTCCGCTCCAGATTTTCCCAGGGGGACGACTAAGCCTGCCATCATAGTGTTCATACACACGAAAAAAATTTGCAAATTCTTTCATTAAACAAATCAGTGGAATCCCTGATGCAGTTTTTTTTAACTACAATATCCATATGGGATCATCATATTTTGGTTTATTCATTTAGCCAGACTTTATTGAGCACTTACTGTATGCCAGGTCCTATACTAGGCTTTATGGACACAAAGTTAGATCAGGAGCCAGCCACTGCCTGAAGGTGCTTACAGTCCATTGAGGGCTTTAGATGTGGAAAGCAGCTACCCCAGTGCATTGCCACGGGGGCCACCCTCCAGGCGAGTGAAGGAAGAGGTCCTCCACTCACCCTACCTCACGCCGTACTCCAGTTCTTGTGTGCATGGGTGCTAAAAACATTTTGTAAAGTTTACTGTCAATCATTTTTAACTGTACATTTCCGTACATTCACATTGTTTTGAAACAGATCTCCAGAACTTTACCATCTTGTAAAACTGAAACAGTATACCCGCTGAAGAACTACGCCCCTTTTGCCCCCCTCCCCAGCCCTGGGCCACCACCATTGTACTTTCTGCTTAGTCTAAGAGTGTGACTGCCTTGTAGAAACGGAACCATACAGTAATTGTCTTTTGTGACTGGCTTATTCCACTTAACATAATATCAGCAAGTTTCACCCATGTTGTAGCATGTGGCAGGATTTTCTTCCTTTTTAAGGCCAAATTGTCTGTATATACCGCATTTGGCGTATCCATTTACCCATTGATGGAGCATACTCCACATTTGAAGAAAATATTTTGTAATTTCCCCTTTAGTATTTGAAATAAATTGATAGATAAAATACCTAATTTAAAAATATATATGAATCTGCATATAATAATATAAAGGGAAAGTAAAAGGCAGTAAATATTAAAGCAAATGTATTTCAGTTCATGCTTAACAACACTAGAAGGCAAATGAAATAGTGAGATGCTTTCACCAACATGTGGAATTAACATAAATACAATAAAAATCTACACTGAGCCCTAACCAGTGTGGCTCAGTTGGTTGGACGTCATTCTGCAAAGCGAAAGGTCGCCAATTCAATTCCTGGTCAGCACATATGCCTGGTTTGCCGGTTCGGTCCCTGGTCAGAACGCATTCGAGAGGCAACCAGTTGATGTTTCTCTCTCACATCAATGCTTCTCTCCCTGTCTGTCTCCCTCTTTTCCCCTCTCTCTATAAATAAATAAATAAAATCTTTAAACAAAAAATTTAAATTAAAAAAATTTAAAATGCACATTGATTTAAAGTATTAAAGTTAATCTTAACTCAAATTCCATGAAAGGTATTTCCATTAGTGGTGTGATTTTTCTTAAGTGGTGGGGTCAATCACAATCAAAATTGAGTATCATTTTTAATTCCTAGAAAACTTAACACCATTAAAAAAATATTTTATGTTTCCCTGGCTGGTGTGTCTCAGTGGATTGAGTGCCGGCCTGAGAGCCGAAAGGTCACCAGTTTGATTCCCAGTCAGGGCACATGCCTGGGTTGCGGGCCAGGTCCCCAGTTGGGGTCATGCGAGAGGCAACCAATCAATGTTTCTCTAGCACATCGATGTTTCACTCCCTCTTTTTCTCCCTCCCTTTCCCTCTCTCTAAAAATAAATAAATAAAATATTTTAAAAATATATCTTATGTTTACATATAAGAAAGAATTAGGTTCTAGGCTCAGATTAGTATAAACAGATTTTCATCCACATAAATCTCTGGAGGACGTTCAAAAGTTGAACAAGTTGCGGGACAGTTTACTGTGTGTAAGCTCTCTAGGACACTTGCAAGATAGCCAGTCTGTCTGGCCCCTGCCCACCAAGCGCCAATAATGCCACTCCATTGTTATGGCGTTTACACACACACACACACACACACACACACGCACAGTGTTACAAAAATGCCCTCTATGGGAAGTCCCATTTCCATTGTGATCCACTGGTCATGATGGTTAGGGGAACGCTTACACTGATTTTTGAAGACCTGCTAGGAGTTAGCAAAGTACATAGTAAGTGTTCAACAATTATTTGTTGAATGAATGAAAGAAACCTGACTTTTTATTGCAATTCACTTTTGTTTCTTGAGAAACTGTTACAGTATCAGAACTTAAGCTACCTTTCACCATAAAGTGAAGTAGAATTCTATATAAAAAGTCAGCATGTAAGGTGGAAACCACCAGAAGGGTAACTTGTGCCTTAGAACAGCAAACGTTTGATAAATAGCTCAGGAGCCATTGCATTGTGGTTTCCTGAACATTCAGAGTCAAAATAATTATGTTTATATATTTTCTACCTCCTCTGAAGTTAAAACATTCATGCTTTTGCTGGCCTATTTGCTTTGAAATGAAATATGTGGGTTTCTGTGCATTAATATTAATTATCAGTTTGTTTTCTCTCCCTTTCTAATGATTTTGCAACAGGACATTGAAGAGACAATGAACACTGCTCTGAATGAACTCCGAGAACTGGAGAGGCAGAGTACCGCAAAGCACGCCCCGGATGTGGTCCTGGATACCTTAGAACAAGTTAAAAACTCTCCCACCCCTGCCACGTCCACAGAATCTCTCAGCCCCTTGCACAACGTTGCCCTCAGGAGCTCAGAGCCTCAGATTCGACGAAGCACTAGTTCCTCCAGTGATACCATGAGTACTTTCAAACCTATGGTAGCGCCCAGGATGGGTGTGCAGCTAAAACCTCCAGCCCTCAGGCCAAAACCTGCTGTTCTTCCAAAAACAAACCCTACCATAGGACCTGCACCTCCTTCCCAGGGTCCAGCAGACAAGTCTTGCACAATGTAAAAACCACTGAGCAAGGGCATACGAGGAGGTGATTAAAAAAAGAAAATGGATTAGTGACAAAAGTCAACGACCGATACCTTTCCTTAGTTTTGTGCTTATAACTGGAGATCTTCTGGCTTTTCTATGTTCTCAAATGTAACATCTGAGACTAGCCGAGATAACACGGGCATTTGTATTTTGTAAGTTCTTCCTTTTTTTTTTTTTTTAATGACTGAACATATGTCATTTTAAAGACAATAGACACACTTAGACTTACTTGAAAATTCAATGCTGCACCATTTGTAATGAAGGCAACACCACTCCGCTCTTCGCATTGTACAGCGCTTCCGGTTTAGTGTAGTCTGGGTGAGTCAGAAAGGTCTGAGTCCAAAAGCACGAGAATCTGAGTCCCAGGCTTTGGAGTATAACTAGTGTTGGTCTGTGGCACTTGGGGCAGTGGCTGAAAGGTGTTAATGGCATTGTTTGGCAGCTGACAGCACCTCTGGTTCCATGCAAGGGGGTGGGGTTCAGCTCATGCTAAAGACTTGCCATTGTCAGAGTGTGACGGACCTTCCCAGTGGGACCTTCAGCCCACAGCCTGAATGATTGGATGACTGCCTCTTTCATAGTAAGTCATTGTCCTGGGTCCAGGTTAAAGACTAGCAGAAGAGGGTAGAACCTCTTTAGTTACCGCTTGAACTAAACCTGGGGAAGGAGAGAGAGACAGTTCTCCAGAGCTATCGATGTGACTCTTTCTACAAGCCTAGCCAGGCCCAGAAGATTTCCAACACCATCCCGTGCATTCACAAAGGACCAGAACAGTCTAATTTTCAAGACTTTCTGGTTACACTACTCCACAAACTCCTTCAGAGATCTGTGGTTCAATAGCTGCCTAGAAAATATTTCCAGCTCCCTAAACCCCTGTGTTCTCCTCTGTGGAAACGGAGAAAGCAGACAGCACACAGGTCTTTGGTTCACTCAGCCTTCTGTTCTGACTGAATGACCTTGGCTCCTTTAAACATGCTGCAGAGTCCTGATGATCCTACATTGAATCCCCACCTTTCCCCTCTCCTTTTGGCTCTTTGAGCCAACCCAGAACAGGCCATGGTACTGGAATGAGCCGTGCCGGCCACAGTGGAGGATTACGTCATGGTTCCAGGGTCGTTTCCTCCCAACTTTGAACCTTGGAACCATGACTTTTTTTCCTTTTCACGTGTGGTCTCTATATAACTAACAGTCACCCGGCTCCATGAGGGGCCCTCTTTCTCTGACTTCCATGCACATAGATGATTTTTCTTTAGCCCATATTCATGCTGGGTTTTTTTTCTATCTTAAAAAGTTTGCTTTGAATTCAGGTGTTTTTACTAAGGTACAAATGACCACTCTCCCACCAGCAGCAGCTTATATCATCTGTAAACCTATGAGCATTTCATCTCTTCTGTCATTGAACTTACTCATGAAGAGACTTTTTTGTATTTTAAGATAAATGGATGGCCACAACTAACCCATCTGGACCACCACTGATTTCCTTCTAAGTTTGGTTTCCCCGCTAGCCAGTTGCATGCGCACCTAAGAATTACATAGCATGGACCTTACCAGCCCACTCGTGAATGCATCATGCGGGAAAGAATGAGGATCTGGACTATAAACTCAAGATCATGACTTGGATATCTACCTCAGTTTGCCAGGCTAATCATTTTAATGCAAACAGAGATTAAATTAATGAGATAGTTACCTTTCAAAGTCACACTGCTGGTTGCTTGCCTACAGCCTAATTTCACTAATGTCTTGAATAGTGAATTTTTTTCCAAGTATTTTCCAGGAATGGTAAGGTTTTAAACCTCTTAATTTTCAGAACCAGCTTTTTTTGCCCATCTTGAAAAAGAGGCCTCGCTTAGCATCTTGTCCAGCCCTTGCCATTTCTCTTGAGCCTCCGAGGTCCTTCAGCACCTTGGACACGTGGAGACAGCCAAGACGAAACTTTGAACAGCACTAACGCTTTTAAACACTTCCCAAATTCCCTAGCAAATTTAAACTTTCCTAAATAACCTACCAGTTTTTTTCTGGATTTCACTTCGGTTTCTAACTCTCTGTCTCTATATGGGGAAACAGGAGCAAAGGATAAAGGTGGAAGTAATAGAGGAGAAAGGGAAACTTTAAATCTTTTAGAAATTAAAATAAAAAGGATTCTTAGAAACCATTTTCTATCTTTGATGAAAGTGTAAGATGTTAACGAAAGGTATCAAAAGGTGGGAGAGGAAGGTCTTTCCTAAGCTTTAACTATAGCTTTTCAGGTCTCACTCCAAGCTCTATCCCTCAGACCTTCCCCCATCATCCGCCCCCTGTCTCCTCCCTGCCTACACCTGTGATGGAACGAGGATTGCCTTTCCGCCGCCCAGTCAGGGCTGGCTGCCTGCGATGGCAGAGGACACGCTGCTCTAAGCCCTCAGAGCCTCAGAGGCCGTGCCTTCTGGGAAACAGCTCCGAACCCCGTCCCATCACTCCCTTATCTTACCTGCCTCTAGCTTTTCCCTCTCAGCCCCTGCTGTCATCCTGAGGCTTTTTCCCCCCAATTCCCAGGGAAGGATGTGAGTCTGCGTGAGTAAGGACTCAGGAGGAACTCACCTGTCCTCACTCTGTTTAGTAAAAGTCTTCAGATTTCAGGGACAGGACAAGGTGGCCACTTCACAAAGTATCCACACTCACACCCGGTCAGCTCATTGGAGGCTTCGGCAGCTCAGAGGCTTTGCCTGGCGCGTGGCCTGCCTCACAGCCACAGCGTGGCCCCCGCAGGGCACGAGGGGAGGCACAGGGAGTGGGGGGATAATGCCTGCAGTTTCAAGGATCTGTGGGTCCTCGTGTGCAGTTTGGGAAGGGGGTTGTTCTGATGGTGGGGAAATGATGGTTCTACAAAGACGACCTGATTCCACTTACACAAGAATATGTATCCACAGTTCATATGGCTGGATGTTCATGTCCCCTCCACTGAACTCACTGAAGTAGGGTGACCAAGTTGGCCTTTTGGTTTGGGTCAGGGCATGGATTAGCATGGAGAAAAAGGTACTTAGTTCACATTTTCTGATGAGTGCTCTAAGTTATTTCAACATGTTGAAGGGTCCTTTGTAAAGCTGTTGTTCGGCAGTTTTGCATGTTTCCACCCAGCGTCATGCAATGTAGGTGCCCCTTGAGCTATCCACAGGATCATTTCGGTAGTCCCACTGCGCCTGCTGCAACAGGCACAAACAGCTGTCAGTGGGTATAGAACACTAAGGGTCAGATTGTATCAGTCTGGTGTTCTGTCTTTGTACTTTGGCCATTTCCTAAAATGGGCTTATAATTTAATTAAGGTGAAGAAGAAAGTGAGGAGAGTAGTAGTTTCGTGAGCAGTGAGGAATGACAGAGCCTCTAACATCCAAAATGAAGAGCCTATGGGTCTGTCGAGGGGTTTAGAAGACTTTGTATTTGGGACGATACTCGTTCCTGAACAGAGTAGTGAGAGACCACGAATGCAGGAAATGCACGTGGGGCCGAGCCTTGCTGAGGTAGCCGCCGCGGAGGCCCTGGGCCACAGGGCAGCTTTGAAGTGAAGGCTCCCTCCATGTGTGAAGAAGGCGACCTACCAGATCATCCCCCTGAACCGAAAACCCAGCCACCCGCGGGGGTCGGGCTTGGTGCAGGGTGGCTTCAGCACATCTTCATTCAGCTCGGTGAAACAGACTGGAAATGGATCTTTCACTTACCCTAGTATACTTTCTTAAAAAAATAGTCTACGTGGTATAATCGAGATGGTTACCTGTATCTTTAAATTATGTAGGGAATTTTGTATGTTTAAATAATTGTTCTGGGTTCCACAATGCTTATCATAGAAACTGTTTAGTAAAAGAAAATATATAAACCGTGCATTTGTGAATGCCCCCCTTAGAGCATTCATCCAAGTTCAGTGTGTCGTGTGATGGTTACTATAGATGTTTCAAGTGTAGTTAAGTGGCTGTGTAACAGGAGAGGCTGCTATTTGCCTAGCGGCTCAAGGGTAGCTCCTATCCACCTAATTAAATCAGTGTTGTCCTTTCCTGTCCGTTTGATCAATTGCAGTACTGGTAGCTTCCTGCTTGTGACTGTTACCTAACCGTGTCAATGTACATCTGTAGTATGTACATGTGAAAGTGCCTTTCTATTTTGGTTTTAGCCTGGCTCTTTACTGTTGCCCCTCCCACCTCCGCTCTCTCCTGCCTCCCCTTCCCGCCCCGCCCCGGCACTCCGCCCCCCAATTTAAGTGTTCAGACTTCCTCCACTTTCCTGTGCCTCGGGTGCTCAGTATTGTCCCCCCTTGCGTCCTTGTCCATCATCAGACTCTCGTTTTCCTTATGGCTTTGACTAGCACTGAGTCCCCCTGCGTCCTCCCGGCCCGCCCCTCCCTCTTCAGCCACGTGCTGCCGCCACCCTCGTGTTCTGTTCACCTTTACCCTCTGGTCTGCCTCCTGTCATTACATTCCCTCATCTCCGAGGTGAAAATAAAGGGGTGGGGGGCTTTTACAGTTCTGAAAGAAAAAAATGTTTTGTTACTCTGTTGTGACAATGCACTTTTATGTATAGTACTGTACATTTTGGCATGTACCATTCCAGGCTTCAGTATACAGTCAGGTCTGTTCTTCACGGTGTATCTTTATAATAAATAAGGTAGTTCTGGCTGCCTTTGTCTGCTTCGGGTTTCGTGTGTGACTCGGTGGTGTTTTCATTCCTTTTCCTTTCATTTTCTAATCATTATTTACCCCCCAGAGAACTAAGTTGCATGAAATAATGTGAAGCTACCTTTTTTAAAAAAATGTTACCTCACTTTCCTTTTTGTTTGTGACTTTGAAAATGAGGCTTCATGTGCAGGCCGTTGACCATGAAGCCAGGATGTTGGAGCCAGGAGACTCCTCCGGAGCGAGGGAAAAGGGATGGGGGGGTGGGGGTCCCCGCCGGATGCTGAGAGGCAGCCCTTCTAAACACTCGCCCGCTTGCAATCTTTTCTTTAAGGACTCTCTGGCATAGTAAGCCTTGTCAAGCTGATCTTTGGTGTCATTTGAATAAAATTGAAATGCAATCCTTAGGTAAGCTATGTTTATAATTTCCCTGGGGTATTGGTATTTTTTCCTTCAAA